ACAATAAATTTCATACATTTAAAAAAAAAAAAAAGTAAGAAAAAGAAATAAATAAATAAACTTTTATCTTTGACCCTAGAATCCGTAACAACCAGATGGTATTTCATTGGTATCTTTATCACAAAGGATACAATGTTCAGCTTGCATGAATTTTGGGATGATGTTTGCAGAAACATTTTTATTCCATTAACTTTAATCATTATAGAAAATCTGTCCTATATGAGCATGTGCCCCAACCTACTGATTTTAAATTGGTTTGACATAATTGTACTATCATGGCCATAAATTGAGGTTACCTATAGTTTCTGGAGATAAATATGGTCAGTTTCATGTTTTTCTCCATCCCTTTTTCCCCTCAGCAAATCAAAACTTATTTGGTATTATTATACTTGTAGATGGAGAAATTAGACATTCATCAAAAGTTATGGGATGTTATACATACACTACAGTGGAAATGACCTCTCTTTCTCTTTCTCATGCAGTGGAATTTGAGGATCATTTTTATTGCCAGTAATATTAAGCTGATAACAAAGACTCAATAAGCAAAAATCTTTTAGCAGTTCCTGCATGTTTACCCAAAGATTATATGAGACAAAAATCTCTGACCCCAGGAGCTTTCATTCTGATAAAAGGAAAAATAGTCAAAAGGAGTTACCAAAACTGATTGATTACTCCTGTGAAAGACATATGTACAGATGCTCTGGAAAGGGAGATAATGGAGGGCTTTTCGAAGGAAAGAAGAAAATTGCTGAGCTCAGTTATGAGGGAGATGTAGGTGTTTGCCCAGAGGCTTAGGGCAGGGAGGGCCTTCCAGAGGCCCCGCATGGGCTGTTCACAGCTGGGTGTGAGCAGAGTGCAGGCAAGGCTAAAGGGGATAGCTTTCTAAGTGCGAGGCTTTGGGACTTGATCCTGTAAGCAGTGGAAAGAATTATAAAGAGGGCTGATAGGACACATTCTAAGGTATCACCCTGCTGGTGGGTTGAACTGATGGAAGTTGAACTGATGGAAGATGAGGAGGGAAATTGAGGGGGTGGATTGGAGATGTTTTGAGTCAAGTCAGTGGCCTGAAGTTGGAGAAATGTTTTAGAGGTAGAATCGATACATCTTAGCCTGGTGTTAGATGGGGGTCATGAGAGGCAGGTAGTGGCTTGGCCTGGCCTGTCCCAGCTGTAGATACAGATACAAAGTCCTACAACATCTTTTCAGATATGGAAAGCCACACAGATTTTCGAGTGAATGTTAAGTAATTTAGGATGAAAGTGGTATAGTGGTTAGAGGATGAGAGGATGCTCCCGGTGCATACTAGAGTAGATACAGAGCAAATAAGAAACATGCTTGTCATTTAAAAAAAGAGGAGGTGGGGAGCATCTGGGTGGCCCAGTCAATTGAGCACCCAACTTTGGCTCAGGACAAGACCTCACATTTTGGGAGTTTGAGCCCTGTGTCGGGCTCTCTGCTGTCAGCTCAGAGCCCACTTCAGATCCTTTCTCTCTCTCTCTCTCTCTCTCTCTCTCTCTCTCTCTCTCTCTCTGCCCCTCCCCCATTCATTCATTCTCTCTCTCTCAAAAATAATTTTTTTTTTTTTAAAAAGGAAACGTGGTTGGAGTAGACAAGAAAAATGTTATATTTGATGTCATTGACTTTTGCCCAAAGACACAGTGAGGAAGTCATCTGAGAGAAAATTCAGAAAGAGTGAGGAAAATAATGGTTGTGTGAAGCTGGGAAATTTGCCCCATAAGCATGTTCCTTACTACAGGTTGGAATCGTGTATTGAGTATGCAGGCTAACTGTATTAGGAGCTATGCCCACTTAAAAGTCAGTTAAACTGCGATCTTAAATGAGATCTTCCCTGATTCTTTACGTGAGGGGCTAATGTAGCAAAGTAATTAATAATAGAGTCTCTGGAACCAGGTGGCTTAGGTTCAAATCCTGCCTCTTGCCACTTAGTAACTACGTGAACTTTGGCAGTTCCTTAACCCTCGACACCTCTGTTTCTTTACATGCAAAACGCAGTACTTCTTACTTCATAGGGTTTTGTGAAGATGAATTAAGATAATGTGTGTAAAGTGCTTGGTTGAGTTGCTGGCACCTAGAGTAAGTATTCACTAAATGTTAGCTATTACTCTGATTAGAACTTGAGTAACAATAGCAACAAGTACTGCATGCCAAGTATTTGTTAAGTGTATGGATGTCATTATAGATAATAGTTGCCACAATTCTGCTATCATGCCTACTTGCTTACCCTAACCCTAACCCTGCTCCTCAGTAATGATATTGGTAGTTAAAATGGATGGAGGTTGAAGGAAAGTTCTTGATAACTCAGATAACTGAAAGGTAGGCAGTACTTTATACTCCACGTATGCTCATGTTCTTTCATAACCCATGTTTTAAAGATCGAGAAGCAGAGGCGGATAGAACGGATAAAGCAGAAGCGGGCCCAGCTGCAAGAACTTCTCCTGCAGGTAAAGATGTCAGGATAGTTTTCATTCTCTTCCCTGCCTGTATTCTGCTGCTCTGTTTACTTGCTTTTAGAGTCAGTGTATAATACTTTGGGTGCCTTGAGTAGTGCCTGATGGGACCACATTAGGGCAACCTCTCCACATCTGAGCTCACCACCGTCTCCATGGTCTAGCTTTACGAAGGTTCCACCTCTCACCATCATCATGGCTCCCTGGCAGCTCACTTGCCCTGTGTGTGACTTATATATGCAACGGTTTACTTTTGATACTTATTCTTACTCTGAACAGAAACCATATCAGGAGTCCTTTCCTGTGTGTTTATTATGTTAGCCCTGATTTGGAATGTCAAGAAGTAAGACTGCTTACACTTCAGGCTCTTTGAGTAAAATAATCAAATCCACCTGTCATACTTATTATCTGTAAATAATAGAATAACATGTAATGATTCAGTAAGCTTCGTAGAAATACCAAAAGCTAAAATGCCTTTCTTTTAAGAAAGTTAATTTTTATAGTGTAATAAGGATCCCTATATTTATAGTGTTTTGGATAATTGCCTGGAATTTGAAGTTTTTTTCAATATAATAGAGCCAATGTATAAAGTCATGTGAAGTAGAATCACATGTAATTTTTTTAAAATTTATTTTTGGTAATTGCATTTGCTACGAAAATTCACTTTGAGTAGTACACTGGGGTCATTTTCAGTGCAATCAGAAACCCTTTTTAAAATGAGCCAGAGGGTCTTTATGCTTTTTTTTTTATCAGCAAATTGTCTGTATATGAAGAGTTTTCAACCACTCATAAAATCCACTTTGATTTGACAAAAGTTAGATCCTATTTAATTTTTGATGTAATCCACTTTTCAGAAATAAAGGTAACAAGTTACCAAATATCGTAGCAGGTTTTTTTCTTTCTTTCTTTTTTTGCAGGTTTTTTTTCTAAAGCACTCCCTTTGTCTAATGGACACAATGTGGTTAGGTATTTTTAAATATTCCACATTTTTGTTTTTTACTTTCTAGATGCTAATATTTGTTCATTTGTTTCACGTTCATGATACACGAGAGCAGCAAGAGAAGACCGTTGAGCCCTTGCAGGGGCCTATGTATAATTTGAGAAGGAAATAGGAAAGGAAGTAGGGCCGGGAGAGGAATAGCCCCAGACAGAGCAGAGATTGCCCAAACACAGCAAGCCCCGGAGGTGATGTTTCCACCCTGATTAGGCCATTTCTTTCTTCCTTATTGTTCCGTGTCTGCTTTTCACACTGAACCCCATTGGACCTACCTGAGGAGCTAGTGCTGGAGCAAGCATTTTATGTATTTTTCATACAGGATTTCCAATAAGGTTATATTTGAAGAGTGTATTCTGGGAGCGCCTGGGTGGCTCAGTCAGTTAAGTGCCCGATATCACTCAGGTCAGAATCTCATAGTTCGTGAGTTCGAGCCCTGCATCACGCTCTGTGCTGACAGACAGCTCACAGCCTGGAGCCTGCTTCAGATTCTGTGTCTCCCTCTCTCTCCGCCCCTCCCCCGCTCACGCTGTCTCTCTCTCTCAAAAATAAACACTAAAAAAAAATTTGAGGCTTCTGGGAAGATGGCAGCGTAGGAGGACGCTGAGCTCACCGCGTCCTGTGGATCACTTAGATTCCACCCACACCTGCCTAAATAACCCAGAAAATTGCCAGAAGACTAGCAGAATGGATTCACCGGAGGCAAGCGTAGACGAGAGTCCACGGAAGAGGGTAGGAAGGGCGGAGAGGCGGAGCACGCTCCACGGACTGGCGGGAGGGAGCCAGGGCAGAAGGGCAGCCCGCCGGCAAAGCAGAGCCCCCGAGTCTGGCTTGCAAAAGCAGAGGGGCCGGATGGAGTGTGTTCTGACAGCAAGCGGGACTTAACATCTGGAAGGTTATAAGTTAACAGCTCTGCTCAGAGAATGGAAGGGCTGAAGGACAACGGGAGGGAGAGTTGTTGAGCCGCGGACGACAAAGTGCAGCTTGGCGGGGAACCAAGGTGCTCGCCAGCGCCATCTCCCTCGCCCATCCCCCAGCCAAAATCCCAAAGGGAACCAGTTCCTGCCAGGGAACTTGCTTGCACCGCGCAAACACCGAACACAGAAACTGTGCTTCTGCGGATCCATCCCTCCGGCGGCGGGTCTGACTCCCTCCCGGTGCCGCAGGGCCCCTCCCGAAGTGGATCACCGAAGGAAAAGCGAGCTGAGCCTGCCCCTCCCGCCCCTGTGCACCTTGCCAATCCACCCCAGCTAATACACCAGATCCCCAGCACCACAAACCCGGCAGTGTGCAAGTAGCCCAGACGGGCCATGCCACCCCACAGTGAATCCCGCCCCTAGGAGAGGGGAAGAGAAGGTACACACCAGTCTGACTGTGGCCCCGCCCACCAACACAAGTTATTCAAGACAGCACAGGGGAAATGCCCCGAAGTCCCGCACCACTCCAGGGACTATTCAAAATGACAAAACGGAAAAATTCCCATCAAAAAAAGTCCTGGAAATAACGACAGCTAATGAACTGATCAAAAATGATGTAAACAATATAACAGAAAGTGGATTTAGAATAATAGTCATAAAATTAATCGCTGGGCTTGAAAACAGTATAAAGGACAGCAGAGAATCTATTGCTACAGAGATCAAGGGACTAAGGAAGCCAGGAGGAGCTAAAAAATGCTATTAATGATCTGCAAAATAAAATGGAGACAACCACGGCTCGGATTGAAGAGGCAGAGGAGAGAATAGGTGAACTAGAAGATAAAATTATGGAAAAAGAAGAAGCTGAGAAAAA